TATTATCATCATCACCTTTGGGAGGTTGCATAGCATCTAAAGTACGATCAGACAGATTTAATAGTTATTTATGCAACTGTTGTATAATGAGGAGTATTAAATACGAATGTGGGTTTATCACAGGAGGCAAAGCCGAGCGTTATTATAATATCTTGAGAGTGTTTAAATACCTATTTAGAAAAAGTTGCATAAATACAAGGCTTTATCTATACTAATGATATGAATCCTCTATAAAAGGTTCTGAAACCATGGTGCGTTCTAAGAACTTAACATTCATGAAAAGTTTCGGCGCTGTGGTAGTGAATCGCGTATGATAGACATGTTCTTTTTTTGAAATTCATACAAATACCATGCATCGTGCAGTAAATCTGTGGCTGTCTGATAAGTAAACCCTTTGCGTCAAAGTCCGACTCGCACTGGGCCGGTCTTTTACTCGATGCTTTAATTGCTAAGCCGGACTTATTTGAGCTATTAGCTCTCTAAGTTACAAAAAGATACAATATTACCAAAATTATGAAGATATTTTTGTGTGAACATATTTCAGTGTATGAATTATGAAGATATTACTGTTCTTCTCAAATCCGATTAAAACATGTTGGACAGCATTTCAGTCCTATTGAAGATTTAACTAATGGGCAAATTAGCTTTCTATATAAAGTGTTATAAGATCGTACAGAGTTACGAGTCTTATAAAACTCACGTCAATTATGTTTAATGTTTGTCAAAATTACACGCTATTTGCTATCACAAATATCAGATTAGTGATCTCAGCATATTCTGTCCAATAGAGATTTACCATAAAGTGCATAGTCATAGTATAGCGAGATTCTTTGTCCAAGGTAAATGAGTTATCTTGTCACATAGGAAAGAGCTCAAACTTCCCGCCTTCTCCGGTTGTGACATGGCGGGCGGGAAGTTCGAACTTTGAGTGAACTTCAAAATTCATTCTAATTCGTACTATTTTCGTGATTTGGGTGTGTGTTATTCAATCGTACAAAAACATCCCCAGATAAATTTAAAACACGGACAGTTTATAATTTGGATTTATAGTCTTATGTCTTTTATTCCGGTAAATTCTAAGGTTCTCAAACAGAAGGAAAAACAGGCCGAACTAGGCGACGGGTAGTTTTTTTTTAATTTCCACCATAATTTAAAGTGTTTAGGAATTTGTGAATTCTAAAGTCTACGTGGACAAAGTAGCCAACATAGTTTAGTACTTTAATACAAACTGCAAATTTCTGAAGATTTGTTAAAGTTTACCCAGTCTGGAGCAAAGTTGTGATAACTTTGGGTAGCCAGGGTCACAGAAAATAATGAATGTGCTTCTGTTTCAATATTTTCACAAGGAAACAATAGAATATGCATCCACGCAGAGTTTGATTACTTTTGATACTGCATGCTTTTCGCCAGCTTTCTGATGGGTGGGATGGGATTCAGCTTCTCCCACACCTGCGCGACGAAGTTTTGGTACTGACTGCGCTAAAATTCATCATCAATCCATGTTCGTCCACTGCTGGACATAGGTCTCCCCTAAGGCACGCCACTGCCCCCGATTTTGTGCTAATCTCATCCAGCCTACTCCAGCCAACCTACGAATATCAGCATCCTATCTTGTCTCAGGGCATCTTACACTACGTTTACCGAGTCGTGGTCTCAACTCAAGAACTTTCCTGCTCCAACGGCCATCAGTTCTGCGGCTAATGTGACCAGCCCACTGCCACTTCAGTTTGCTAATTCGGTGGGCTATGTCGGTGACTTTGGTTCTCTGTCGGATTACATCATTTCTGATGCGGTCCTTCAGGGATACTCCGAGTATAAACCTTTCCATAGCTCTCTGAGCGACTTTAAAGATGCGCTAAAATTAGCGTTCCAAATTTGATTGAGGAGGAAGAAGGAGTGTACCCATCAGCTGCACATACAAATTAGTTGTCGTCATTGAGGATGCAAACCTCTTTGATATGTGTCAAAAACCGCCTGTTAAGTTATCGTCCACTATAGTTATCGGCAACTCGATTATTCATTACGTTAGGACTAATTCAAATTTCAAACGCAAGTTTTTTACGCATTTCTTTACCAAACTTTTTGTGAATAAGGTGTGGGAGAAGCATATGGCGTGCGTCTTCACAGATCACCAAAGATATCATCATGAAATATCAACAAGGGAATCAGATATAAGTTTAACAGACAGCTTACTGTAACGACTACACATTTGTGGTGCCTAAATTGATGAGGCAACTTTACTGAACTACGTACATTTTCAAAACTGCCACATGAAGTATCATATTATCTGTGCTTATGCTAGTCAAACATTATGTGAAACATTGCAGATAACGCTTTGTGGGGATACGAAAGAATCCTGTTGTTCATTTTTAAGACTCCCACGGAAATTGATTTGTTTTCCATGATTAATATCCGTATTCCATGGACCACATAAAGAATACAATTATAATTGTGCGGGTGTCGAAATATCTTTATGTAAACATCGCTACTACGGTTAAAAGCAGTTAAAAGTTTTTTGAGTCCGAAAATAGCTTTTAATGACGATTTAAAAAAGCTACTATTTTTTATATTAATTGAGCTTTATTTCATTTCAATTTATTTCATGGCCCAATCAGTCGTGAGAAATAATCGCTTCTCTGTATAAAATTTAACTCCCATTTTAGCTCCTACAATTTGTGTTCCATGACAAAAAGTTTTAACTAAAGTCTCCTTATTTCCATGCCAATATTCATCGAAATCGGTACAGTGATTACAAAGGCATGAAATCGTAGACATATAAACAAAGACTTTAGGAATTAAAATATTGGTATTGATAAGTATATAACAGGAAATTTTCAAGTACCTAATAACTGTTGATAATAAAACATATAAAAGTAAGAAAACTAAGAAAAAATCATGTTCTGATGATCATTTCAAACCAAATGTTGTAAGCCTACATTATTCGTTAGGTATTCTACAATAATTATATTACTTATTGTGAACATGTTTGTTTATGTTTGTCGTTAATTTTAATTAAATTTACTTGCTCCCGCGTTTTGTAACTGATGAGATGACTGTGTAACGGAGAAGAAGATGCCTGTGACATTTAGATGCAACAGTGTAACAATAAGAAATCTATAAAAACTTTAAGCATTCGAATTAAAGTGAAATTCATTATACTGTCAGTAGAACTTATAATTTACAAACTTCTTGAATATTTTTATCGTTTCTATATTTGACCCCTGCCTTAAAAAAAACATGATATATATCTTTGTCAGTATGTCTATGTAACTGTTTGTCTATGTATATGTATAACTTGTTCCGCTGTTAACTGATTTTATATAAAAATGTTAAGAAATATAGGCATATGTTTAAACAAAAACAAAAATAGAAACGACGACAAAATTATGTACTTATTGATATTCTAAATAGGAGTTGTCTAAGCAATCAACCCTTATTTTTTTGTTACATATTAATTGTTATTATATGCTTATTATTTACAATTATGTTGAGATTATCTGGTAACAGTATCATCTGTAATTGTATTGGTATTTATGAAGTGTTTCGTCTTATTAAAATTGATGATTTAATTCGATCGATGATGAGACAGCAGCAGCCGAAAATTCGAGTTTCAATTTCCGATGGGTTGGTTAACGCATGATGAAAGCTCAACATATTTTGGTACATAAATTCGTATTGATAACTTAAAAATCAACAACAGGAATCATCTGGTATCTTAAATAAGAACATTCTATGTAAAACGTAATAAAAAAAATATATTATAAAACTTTATGTTTAAGAGATTAGTATTCATAACATTATTTATACTGGTATAAATAAGTTTTTGGCAAAACCAAACTTAATAAATTATTGAAAAATAAGAATAAATCATCTTATAACTTTTGAAGTAAAGTTTTGTCATAACATCAGTAGGTATTATTAATTAGAGAACATCAGATTTCATCGTTTATCATCATCATCCATATCGTTCAGAAAGTTTCATTTAGTTTCAAAACCAATGTTTAGGATAAAAATAAGATAATAAGATATTTCATAATTTTCACCAATCTGCAATATTGTTTCAAAATAAATTAATGATAATGAACATTCTGGGCTTTAACTTCGAAAATCGTATATATATTGAATTTAAATTCAAATCGTCGTTAAATTCTAGCAAAATTTTGCATACTCGCTCTCGTATCCGTGTAAATCATAACTCGGACGTTTAAAAAATCTAATGTACACAGCCCAGCTTAGTGCGCTTATGTAAGAAATATTGATAATTAAATAAAAAATATAAGTATATACGGAAAGTATAATATCTCTATCACTTGCATAGATAAGTGTATAATAATCTTATTGAAGTAGTAAACATTTATTTATATATCTCATTAAACTAGATGCATGTTGCGAATTTTAAACAATTTAAGCCATTAAAATGTAAAATTTGGTTGAAATATAATAACAAAACACTTACAGCTGATAAATAATAAATTCACAATTTTATCACTCAAAGCATGTCTCTTCACAAACAAAAGAATATGTTCCTTGTAAATTTTTAGGAAGAATTGTGTTTTAATTATCTTTACTTTACTTTCTATTTATGAATTTCCAATTCGATGAAAGTTATTTCGAGGAGGACCTTATCTTTGCAATGATTAACTTCGCGTCGACTGTCCTTACGAACAAATGCAAGCGGATTAGGCATCGTAGCGTCGAACGTAATGCAATCCTTATCTGCGCCCACAGCAACGGTAGCGATCATTTTAGGTAGTTTTTAAAATGTATCTCATTACCGTTATGATTTAGAGCACTGACTTGATCATCGTGGTGAAATCTTGAAACAACGACAAAGAGCGACTAACTACTCGAGTTATGAATTTACGATAATTTGGTGCAATCAGATTGTTATAGGCTGTGTTTAGCAGTTAAGGCCTAATCTGATTTGATCATGCGTAAGCTCGTAACGGAAATTTACATGAGTCACTGATGACGTGCCCTTTCACGTGTTTTGGACCTACCTATAGCGTTACGGCGTGTGGTGTGCGTGCGCGGGCAGCCAAAGAGGGTGCGCTAGGGCGCGCTGGACGTCGGCGGCGGACGATCGGCGCACAAACACTCACATTCAAATATCCGTCTAACCTTGATGCGAATCGGCGCACTCCGGGTTCCATCCGACGACAGTCGTCAACACAGACGGGCTGAAGGGCTCGCTTCAGGTGTAACAGTGAAAGCGGTGCGTAGCGGTTGCGGTCGCGTGCGTGGGTCGCGCGGCGCGGGAGTCGAGCTCGGGCGCGGGCCGGACGGCAGGCGCATCGGCGCGCCGCCACCGGCGGTGGAGTCGCAGGGCTGCGGCGCGGCGGCCGCGCTACATGTCACAGTGCGACGGGCGCGCTCCTCGCGCCGTGGTCACCGACTCGCAGTGGCGTCGCCGTCCTACTGTCTGCCCGTCGGCCGGGACGGCGGCGCGCGTTGCACCGCCCCGCTGCACTCCGCCTGCCCCCCTGTCGCTGCGCCCCCCTCGCTCACCCCCTCCTCGAGCCGCACACCCGCCCCGCCCTGAAGAATTTTCCGCATCGGGCGGGAAAAATCGATTGTGCAGCGGCCCCCGAATAATTTCGGCAAGACGCACGGCGCCCTTGCGTCCTCCGCTCCGCTTTCCCGAGTCGGTGGTCAAGCGCATATGATGCCTTTCTTTCGCTCGGCCTCCGCCGCCGATCTACCAGTGGAATTTTACTGTCTACTTTTTATTGCATAAACACCACTAATTTCGTTGCAACGCATTATGTCTAGACGTAGACAATATGACCTAGAAATTAAGAGATCGGCGTCTGATGCTTTCGTTTTGAATGTCATAGTGGCACCTACCTACACGGCTAAACATTCAAAATGCTATTAAACGAACTCGTTGAGGTAGGCTTTAGAAATCAAATGATCGACACAGTTTTATATATATCCTTTTGTATTAAGAGCGTCATGAGCGTTTTTTGTTTGTGGGTAAATACAGGTGAGTTGCCTACAGTTTTTTGTCTGTTCTTTATACTTGTCTGTGTTATAGCTTTAAATGTATAATCTTTTATTACCTTCATTATATACTACGCTTTGTTCACAGCGTGCGTTAAAATGTAAATCGGTAATTATCATTCGTAATGAAAGTAAATTAACCATTTTTATTAAGTCTTGCAGCAACAAATTTGAAAATTTTGATTGGTGCTAACTCAGCCCCCCAACGGTGTCAAAGTGAAAGAGAGTAGACGCCTCTAAAAAAAGTAAAGAGCCGTGCATAACGTGATAAACCTTATTTTATATTCTGAAAGCGTTTAATTTAAAATTATTTATTAATCGTTATTAACCAACAGGTAGGAAAAGCGAACTTAATGCAAATAGCATTGTGTATCAGTCAACCGAAAGGAAAAACTATAGACTAATCTATTATCACTTATTTGATATTCATAATAAATTAATGAAATATGATTAAAATCATATCACAAAAACACTATTTGACTGTTTTATATATCATACGTTGCAGAATTTACCTTAATTTCTAGGAACGTTTCTGTCCAACATTTTGCTTGCGGGAAAATTATGAGTTTATTTGTGTGGTTTATCGACCATTTAGTTTAATTGTGTTGAAAATTTAATACAATTATTAAAATAGTTTTGTTTTTACTAAAATATTGATTCACCTGAAAAAGTTCAATAAAAAAGTTTTTGATTTCATAAAAGCTTACTAAATAGGTACCTACCTAGGTATAACACTGTTCTAATGAAAATGGTAACTAAGGCTTTAGGCTTTTTACATACAGATTTATATCATCGCAGTTTGTATAACTTATATAAAGATAAAGAAATGTAATTTATTATAAAAGTTTTGAACGAGTTATACAACTTATGCAACCTAAAGACGAACACATCTATCTATATTTTTATATAAAGACAGAACAGGAGTGTATCCTTTTCTGACAGACTGACTGACTCATCAACGCACAGCCGAAACCGCTGGACATAGAATGATGAAATTTGGACAGTATTTTCCTATTATTGCCTAGACAAGTAATAAGATGGGATTTTTTGAAATTCAACCTCTTAAGCGTGAAATTTGCAAAAAACGTTTGTTCGTAAAATCTTATACCTTGGACCTTATGACTGCAAATTTTGCATAAACATTATTTAATAGATTTACACTTAACCCATAAAAATACATAAATATTACATAAAATTTTTACAACTTCCCTCAAAAATTACAAAATTTCGTGTCAAAGTTTGTATGGGAGTGAATGATCACGTTATTGTACACCATGAAATTTCAAATTACAATTAATTAAAACTATTTCATAATAGTACAAACGGCGGCCTTATCGCTAAGAAGCAATTTTCTCCAAGCAACCGTATGTTAACTGGACTGTTACATAGAGAGTGGGAAGTAGATGGTGTCAATTAAAGTGAAACTATCATTAATAATACTTATAAATAATTATGTACAACAAAAAATAAATTAAAATACATAATATATGTATATATAAACACACTAACACTTTAATCATACTTACTTTGGATGTTGTGACGACTTGCTAAAGTGTCAAGTAATGTTCTTTTAACATTTTTTTAAAACAAGCTAATGTTTTAGCACCTCTGATTGTTTCTGGCAAGGCATTCCACAAACGAGTAGCCTGAACTACAAATGACTTGTCCATAAATTTCGTGGAGTGCGTTTGAATCTCGAGTGTTAAATTCTCTGACGATCTCAAAACACGAGCATGCAGGAAATTAAAACGGTGTAAAAAAAGTGCACATGATTAATTAAAATTTTCCACACCTATTCTGTATAAAATAAAAATGCTATCTGTGATTTAATTTTTCAAAACTACCCTCATTAAACAAAGTTATAACATTTAAAAGTTTTAAATAGTGCGTCAACGCACGCCTACACTTTTGGTCGTAGAGACATGATATTTAGTAAATAGGATGTTCAAATGACGTAAGCATCAAGTGAAAAAATAAATTCGTGTTGCTTGCGTTAAAGAGTCTCTTTTGATGAGTATAAAATCTTTTTGGAAGTTATTATTTACAAATCTCTTAAATATCACTTCGAAAAGTCACAAAAAGCTAAATTTATTAGATTTAAACATTGATAGTATTATTATTTAGATTGTGTTTTACTGAATGAAATTTCATTAATAGTATTAAAACAAAGAAAACAAAAATATAATTACAATTATAAATTACGTTCCTATTATTGTGTGCCTGCAGTTTGTTTGCATTCTTTTATGCCATCAAGTTTTATTTCCGTGATATTTTAATAAGTCTTATTTCTGCGAGGTCTTCTATATCTAAAATCATCATCAAAATAGGTTCAGTGGTTGAGGTGTAACAGACAGTAATTATAACATTCGAATTTAAAAATTAGTACGATTCAGCAGTTATTTTATTATTATACAAGCGATAAATCCATATTCGTTATTTAAACGCGATAAAAAGCTCGATATTTTTATTTGATAGCAGATACTTTCGATACAATTTCCAATGATCATTAAACATAATTTTCACTCTATCGTACAAGGCTTACTTAATCATAACAAATTTAGAGTTTTTAAGAGGATAAGCAGCGTAGTGCTGCTCGGAATAGGCTTTTCCCATGTGTAAAAGACTTTCCCTGTATTATTATGACGTGTACTCGTACATAATACGGATTTGCACAAATAAAATTGTTCTAGTAATAATAACGTTAAATAATATGACAAAGGAAATGTTTTAATATAAAATAATAACTTATCACCTAATACAGCTTACAAGTACACCATACGTGTAAATAAATATATCCGGAAACGAATTTACCTCTTTGGTTATTGTGATGTGTAACATCTTTCCTCTCGGTTTCCTGCAATTTGTGGGAGTAATTTCGTGAAAAGGGACGGAAGTCTGTAACAGGAAGTCACAAAAGCGCGCGCTATCTGATTTCATTTTAGAACATAATGTTCAAATGGCTTATTCCTTTTGTAGTAGGTATTATTTCTTTTTTTACTAATATAAGGTGAGGTTTCAAATGTTACACATCATACGCGACTACTGCAAAACTCGTTTTTTTTTCAGTGTGTTATATGTTGGTCGCTGATGACCTTTACAGTGTTACCGGGTTTAGGGAAGTTGAGATCCTAAAGGGATCTAAAGGGTTCTAAAGCTGAGAACTGGCGAGTGCCTCTAGAGGTATTCCAGGCGGATGGCATCTCCCTTTGGGGGGTGTCTCGTCTCCGTCTGCAGCCTCTAGACCACTCGGACTTGAGGGCGTCGGCTCAACTAAAGGGTCTCTAAGAATCGGACCTCGGTTCTAGTTAGCCGTTGTCGTGGTGTCTTTGATGTAAGAGATGGCGTCAGGGTAGGCAACAGGAGCAATACTCTGATATCGCGAGTTACCATAAGGCGGGCCACATGCTTAATTGCTATTCATTTACAAATAAAAAAAACGTATTACAGTATTAAGATGTTTTGCTTTGCTATGTATTGATATTTATTTCGGGCTTAGGTGTTTGTTTGGGTACGTACCTCTTTAACGCTTTGTATCATACTAAGAAACATTGCAAGGGACGTTGTCCAATCGTAATTATTATTATTAAAATGAAAAAAAAAACAATACTTATTTACTTTAGAAGTATACGTTTATATTAATAGCTATTACAAACTCAATATATCTTTTGGAATATTGAATAATATTTAATGCTACCTATTATTTCGAAAGATATTAAAGTCAAAAATTAAAAAATAACATATACCTTTGTATCCTTTCTTTCATAAATAACATAATACGATGATCAATAACATGAAAAGTTTAGTAAATCTTAGTTTTTATTTTTTTAAGGTTATTTATTTCTTAAGTTTTCACGCAAACCACTCATTAAATAAAGGATGCCAAACGTCAAGTTATGTAAAAAAGTATTAAAAACGCATTTTAAACCCATTGGAATAAAAGTTTTCTTTATTAAAATGAACAGTAAATATTACAGAAATAGATCAAACCTAAATTTAAATAAAAAACTCATTTTCCGACCATTTTCTAGTAGATCTAGTAGACACGAACTATTTGAATTCCAATCAGTCAAACAAAAAGAAGTCCTAAACAAAAGACTATCATCTGGTCATTCCACTAGTATGAAAATGCAATTTAAGTAATTAACAGTAAAACCCAAGAAATCGGGCGAACCAGATGGATTTTACAGATTCTCGTTTTGCCAGTTGTTAGATTAACGGATTGTAAAGAGTAAGATTAAGAAAAAATAAATTAAAAGATCTTTTTGAAAAAGATACCTAAGTAAGTTAATATTTTATTGACGCAAAAATAAAATTTTAGGAAGGTAACTTAACTGTAGTGAATTAATATAAGTTCAATATCAATTCATAATTTTATACTTATACTGTTTGAAAAGAAGTTTTCTAACCAACACATTCTTAGTAGCTCAATACTTCATAATAATAATAATCATAATCTTTATTGCTTCATGTTGGCACATACATGGGTTCTTAAATTTAAAATAAGGATTCACAACATGAGCCCTGCAAGGGCATTGCAAAAAAAACTTAATTTCTAACAAATATTTACAATTACAAACATCGTCTACTTTTGTGAAACATTTTACCTAAAGTATATCTATATCTTTTTATTAAAATAGATATCTATATCCTTTAGCAGCATGATTCATTATGTAATAAAAGTGATAACTATGTTTATATTTATATTATTTCATTGATTGGTCCTGATTAAGAATACATAACATTAAAGAAATATTTACATTTAATTATTTTTTATCATTAATATAAAATTGATATGCATTTATTTTTATATAATTTAATGAGTGGTGTGCATGAAAACTTAAGAGAGAAATACGAGTAACTCGAAACTGTTTATTCTATACAAATGTAGCTGCGCTTCGAGTACCAGGTTACATTTATGGTGATAAGTCTCAAGCTTTTGCGTTAGCTTTCAACCACTTGTTGATCTTTGTTCCTTATATGGAGGCATTTTTATTGATATAAAAATGGTTTGTAAAATTATAATTTTCACAGTTAAGTTAGTGCGCCTACCTTGTAAAATAAGAACCGGGCCTGATGTGATATTTAGACCGGAATTATGTAACATCAAGTGTTCATGTTGTTGGGTGTTAATTTATGAATACATTATTTTTTTATATATCTTTTGACACGAGGCTATACAATATAATTTGAATTTAATAGCTTTTCGTATATGCCTAAACATTTCCGTTATAAAACCTGTTATCGTCAAAATCTAGGAAAACTTTACAATGTTACTTTATTATAATATAAACGTAAGCATGTAGACTACAATAGAAATTTCATCAATTATGGAAATGCATGTACCGAATTCTGAGAATCTTACAACACATTGCTCGGTGTTGTGTTTCGAACAATTGGCATCA